CTTATATTAAAGCCATACAAGATATGTATGAGGGGGTAAAAACTAGTATAAGAACGCCTAGTGGTCAAACAAAGGATTTTCCTATAAAGATTGGGCTACATCAGGGATCATCTCTGAGTCCTTATTTGTTCAACTTGATTTTAAATGTTTTGACGGAACATATTCAAGAGGAAATCCCAAAATGTATGCTCTTCGCGGATGATATAGTTCTTATAGCAGAGACAAGAGAAGAGGTTAATTGCAAACTTGAGTTATGGAGGAGGACATTGGAGTCGAAAGGTTTTCGTCTGAGTAGAAGTAAGACGGAATATTTATATTGTAAATTTGATAAAGGACTATTCGAAAATAATTTGGAAGTGAAATTGGGAGATCAAATTATACCTCAAGTGGAAAAGTTTAGATATTTGGGAGCCATTATCCAAAATGATGGCGAAATCAGTGGAGATATTTCACATAGAATTCAAGCTGGGTGGTTTAATTGGAGAAAAGCTAAAGGAGTTATTTGTGACCGTAAGGTGCCTAATAAACTTAAAGGAAAGTTTTATCGTACTGCTATCAGACCGGCAATGTTATATAGTAGTGAATGCTGGGCTCTAACGGGACAGCAAGAGCATAAAGTTGGAGTAGCAGAGATGAGAATGTTACGATGGATGTGCGGACATACACGTAAAGATAAAATTCGAAATGAGCACATACGTGAAAAAGTGAGGGTGGCACCTATTGAGGAAAAAATGGTAGAAAATCGGTTGAGATGGTTTGGGCATGTACAAAGAAGACCAAGGGAGGCACCAGTGAGAAGAGTGGAACATATAACTTTGAGTCCGATTAAGAGAGGTAGAGGAAGGCCTAAGAGAACACTCTTGGAAGTTGTTGAACGTGATCTCTTAATTAATAATATTTCTAAAAGCTTAATAAATGATAGAGCACAATGGCGTCTTGCAATCCATGTAGCCGACCCCACCTAGTGGGATAAAGGCTTGTTGTTGTTGTTGTTGTTGTTGTATTGACACTATCTTCGGCACGGTATCAAGAACCCCATGACAAAGTGGTTAGCTAATTTGTAATATAGCATTACAAGTCTGTTTTTTTTAGTTCTTTGCAATGCAGAAAGCTCACAAACCACATTAAGGAATAAGTGCAAATATCAATTTAAATAATTTGTACACTGAAAAAATACAAGAAGACACCCTAGAACATAAAAATGTACAAGATGCTCTTTTACTCCAAAAGAACATTTTTTTTATTCTTGAGGCTGAAAATTTCCAGATATCAAATTAAGTATTGAAATATCCCGGTATCAACTCTCATTGAAACTATACCTATTTTAAACCCACACCAGCCAAGAGAATAGAAAGAGAATGCAGACTGCCACAATGCCCTTACGGCTGAAAAAGACAAATGAAATGACTGGCTGATTCATCAGCCTACTTCCAATTGCAACATCAGCAGTTATGATTGATTATTGAAGCTATCAATAAATTTCCTCATATAATTTGAATTAAGTTTCATATTAGCTGAATGACCAACGTTGGTACCAGCAATCACAAATCAGAAAAAACCTCATCAATTGTTATGATTTACACAACACGTTCATTTAGTCATTCAAATTACTATTACTACAATCATCATCTACATGAAAAAGCAATCAAGAATCTCTCAAACCGAGTCAATCACAAACTTTGCAATTTATTTATGATTTACCAATAGTATTAAACAGCAGTTTGATTCGAAAGAGTAGCAAATGAACGTTCATTGATGATGAAGAGAAGAATTTCCTTCTCTAGTCGATGTGCTATCCTGGGAAGCCATTTCCTAGTACCATAACTGGAATTACAAGCCTTTACATCTCCCACCAGGGAAAGACCTCCCCGCAGAAACAAGTTGCATGTGTTAATGAATATACATATAGCATTATTGTAGCGTATCATCTTGTATTTGTAGGTCTAGAAGTATGCAACTATTTACCTTTACTCACTTCTGCAGGAGAATTTCCAATTAAACCACCAGCATTTGCAAATCGAGTGAGAGTTGGTTTGTATACCTAGAATATACACATAAAAAAGAAAATGACAGTGGTATTAATATTTATTCAATACCATAGGCACAACCAATACCCTGATATTTACTTAAACATCCATATTTTAGACCACATACAAACATACAAATCTTTGTAGAAAATATATCTTTTTAAGGAAATATGAAAACATTTGGGTATGCATTTAACTAGACAAATACATTACACGACAGCAGTAAATAAACATTGGTAATGTCAGAAAAGGGAAAAAGTAGACAGGTGGTTGCCAAAAAAATAGAGACGCGTGTACGGGATCACATACTTTATTGGTCACAAAGGTTCCAAAAAAACACAACAACATATCATCATGTTCAAAATATTAAAGGAAACATTTAGAAAAAGCAGAGCAGTTTTGCTCAGACCGCAGAGACCAAAGAGCTATGGTTTCTGATACAACCCTATCGTGAAACTTGCCTAACAGAGACTTTGATAAAATGTTGAGATCTATAAAGGGATAGAAGAGAGAGAGGTAAGCACAGGATCACAAATTTAATCATTTTCCTTTGGTGACTATTCATAGTCGTAAGTTAAGTTAAATAAAACACCAAAATTAAAACTACAAAACTCAGTCTACTAGTCAATACACTTATTATAGCCTAGCCACCACACAAACTATAATAACAAACATAAAGATGAAGATTTAGAAACACATGCACGAATTCCTATTAAACAGCACAGGAAAAGAATGAACTTTCTTTAGTGACGCAATGCAATGGCATCTTGGCCCAAAAGAATTGTTCAATTATATATATAGCACTGTCCATACAACATTTCCTGAAATGTTTAATAGGCTTACTTCCAGAAGAATTGTTCAATTATATATACGCAATGCTATGGCTTACTTTTTTATGTCCAACTTTAGTTAAGGGTGATCCAATTACCTTTGGATCATGCCTGTCAACATCATAAGCTCCTAATATGAAAAGATAATTCACATCATTTGGCCACTTCATGTGTAAGCATCAACATTTTAAGAAAATGAAGGGGCCATGCTATTTTCACTCAGATCCTTATGAATTATATATCATTAAGACAAACCCCAAGTTAACTCAAGGAAAAAGTTTCCAATTGCATCTTAAAGAACCTGACTCTTGATTTTCCAGCTTCCAATGAAAACTCATGCGGGCACAGTTTTAAACTATTGGAGAGGCTAATCAATATGTCCATCTACCAAGAAGAATACCAGTTGATTAATGCAATTAGTATTATGAATTTAAAAAGAGGAATTACATCATAACCAACAACGCAGAAGCTTGAATTCAGCAAATGAGTTGCCATGCCAAATCCCATTGCTCCAAGTCCAATAAAACCAACCCGCCTCCCACTCTTTGAACTAGCAGTAAATTGAGCTGCCAGTTGTTCAGGGACTATATACATCTGCATTTGCTGCACCCGTAATATTCACTCCATAAACTTTTCCCCAAATCTATCAAGAAAAATAAGAGGAAAAAAACAAGACATTAAGAAAGTAGTATCGCAGTGTTTCTAAGAAGACTGCAAATAGAAGAAAAGAAAAATTTCTCTCAATTCATTAAAATCACTGAAACAGAATTTCTGGAATTTAACCTCCATTAGTGCTGCAAGTTCATCATCTCCGCTTATGTGAGAAAGCCCTGACAAAAGAAATTTGCTAGGTTGTGAGTAGCAATCAGGGAGCTTTCAGAAACTAGACAATTACAGAGAGAACAATTGTTGCTTAATCTATTGAATTTCCATACCAAGGATAAGTTGTTGATGCGAAGCAGCCAAAAGTGGAAGTGGGAAAGTAAGTGACTTGGCCATATCTAAAATGATTTCCTTGAAGACAGAAAATTCAACTGCTATCAAGGATTGTTTTAAAAGAACAACTAGAACAATATTCACGAACAGTGCCAACAACCAGATAGAATGTCAAATTTAAAATCAAGTTATGGCATAATATTAGCACCCTTTTTCAACCCAAAAAAAAATCTCAAATTCTAGTTAAACAATTAATGCTGAATCATATATCATTTTTAATTAAAAAAACTAACAAATCTTCAAGTTGAGGATCAGCTATTTAACTTCTGATCTCAAGACATTAACTTAAAAAAAGAGCTTGTATTATGTTAATGCAATCTTAAATTGCTCTATGCTTAAAAGGACTATTCATATATGTAAACCCGAGAGGAAAAAAGATGTAATGATTTATTTCCGCAAACCTTTCAGCTTAAAATATAATGATGATTAAATTTCAAATATTATCTTGTTCACATTTTTAAACCTTTATCATCCACAAACTCAAGGAAAACAGAATTTTAATCAGCAAAAATCATTTCAAAGGATAGTTTCTCTTTAAAGTTTTCATCCTCATAAGCTAACCATTATGGGCCCCATGCCCTGCACTGAATCTAAGGCGTGCATCACCGTCCATAGTTTACATAGTCCAGCTTCGTGTAGATTTTACATCATATATGGATATTGATATAACATAGAGGAGGGGAAGGGTGGAGAGAGAAGGAGGAGGGAGAGATTAGAGAGAAATTAAGGGAGAGACTGAAAAATAATCAAACTTTACTCAATTGATCAAAATAACTAAATCCTACGTGGGATAAGAAGATATATATACCTTATTCTCAAATAAAGGAAATCTATCCTTTAAAAGATAATCTAAATTATAAATTAAGATTAAAATAATTATTTTAATAGAACAAAAATAAAATAATTTTAATTATCCATAATCCCTCATTCCATCAGATATATTGATTGACAACAGCTGGAAAAGCACAACTAAAGTTGCAACAAAAGTTTTATGTAAAATCATTCTGTTATCAACAATATCATACCTGACAACAGTGATGTATTAACATGACAAATAGATAGCCCAGAAAATGGGCCATATATAATTTAATTGCTTCTCGTGTCTATAGATCTTACCACTTCTTTAACAAAAGCACCCAGAATATGATGTTTGATCTCGCCCTTTAACAATTGGGGAACATTGTTCTTGAATACCCTACAGGATAAATTAAATTATCCCCTCACCCAAAATGAGGGGGAGCAATTCAATGAGCAAAAATGTACAAGGAACGCAAATGTCACATTTTGATCTAATTATTCAGTATTGCATGAGCAAAAATTTTAGTGTTCACAGATCACAAGAGATTAACATGAATCATAAGTTCAACCTTTTTTCGGAGAAGAAGAAATTGAGTCAGATTCCATAATGAACACAGAGAAGGGGCGAAAAATGCTTAACTAGGAACTCATATATTCCCTGACGTAACTTATATATTGAGCATTTGACTTCACAGATCATAAAAATCTTGTAAAGTTTATTAGAAATTTGAATAATTTATAAGAAGTATATAAGTTACGTCAGGGAATAGATAAGTTATAGTTAAGGATTTTTATGATGTGTGAAGTCAAGTGCCCAACGACCAAGTAGCCTTCAACGAGATAAGCATCCTAGAGTGTAGATCATAAGTACTAAGCAAGGGTCCTCTTGGCTAAATTTTATTAACAAACACGTACCATGAGTTTCCAGCAGCATTGGAAATGATATCATATATTATCCATGGATGAATTCCAGCTTTGACACCAAGACAGAGAGCCTCCACTGAAGCATTTAAATGAATGCCCTCAAGCAGCTCAACAACTAATTTAACTTTACTGCAATGGAAAGGAACAGTAAAATTTCATTGTGAAACCCAAACAAAATGCAACATTCAATAACATATTTTTTTTCCAATTCTGATAGGTTGTATAAACCTGTAAACGTAACTTTAAATTATTTTATAAATTAATTATCTAGTGTAAAGTTTAACAGTGCTTGGAAAAAACTTCAAGGATCTGTTAAAAAGTAAATTTTTTTTTAGAAAGGGGGGGCACTAATGGTAAATGTATGTTTTAGCAAGAGCACGAAGGAAATAAACCTGCCACCACCAACTTCACCCACAAAAGTGAAAAGCTTTTCACACATTGCTGTCAGAAGAAATAAACCAGTAAATTAAAAATAAAATTCTAGAATTAAAGCTCGAATGTTTAACACACGAACACAAACATACACAAAGTTCTATATATATATATATATATATATAAAGAATATCTCATGATGAGTACCTGAAAGAATAGGCTGTGCTCTTTGATGGAATCTGATTTTCCGGATGAGGTAATCTGCATAGTCTTAAGTAGTCAACAAAAGATAGACTAGCCCACCAGAAATAAGCAAGGTAAAATTAAGTGATAGTAACAAATGAACATACAATGACTTTTCCATCTGAAGCCTCAGACCTCCCACGAGAGATATATGCATCAACAATATAAGTTACCCCTTGAATTTCTGCAGGAACAACAAACCATTAACACTATTCAATTCATTAGTATGAAAACATTGCATGATAAGTTGACAACTTTTAAAAATGTCAAGAAGCACCATCCCACAATTTACTAAGAATCCAGCATTTTGAAGGCAAAAGCATGTATCTTTACCTGCAAGATCCTTCTCTAGTTGATGAACAAGCGATGGGGATATGGTTGAATGAAGAATAACAATTGCGTCCTTGTCTAAACCTGCAAGTGCAGAAAATAAAAATTCCATATCTAAACCAAGATGCTAGGAAATATATAAAAATATAAGGCCAAACAGCTCAAAAATAGACCTTTCAAAGCACCCTCATTTCCAAAAAATAGATCACTAGCTTGATCCACATGAGATATTAGGACAACTAAAGCAGCCACATCTGAAAGTGAGGAAGAGAAACAGATGAATTAGCGAAGATCGTAAGACAACCGTGGAATCTATTTAAATTTACAGTTTAATCTTGTAACACAGAAAACAGATACAAAAATACATATATTTTGCTAGAAAGTAATAGCAACATAGATAATTAATCAAAAAAGAATATCTATTGCCAAGATATTAACTGGCTGAAAACTCAAGTAAAAGGATGAAATGCTCAACTACAACTAATTGGAAATATGGTGAAGCACACCCCATACATCTGAAATGCTCAATTTGAGCAAATGTTATATGCTGACAACTTGGAGATTTGACATCAGTTGCAAACCCACCCAGTTAAATTTCTACACTTTTAATGCATGAGAAAAATAAATAATGAAATACTAAACCTCCATTAGCTTTGTGGTGCAACAAAACTTGACGACCAAGTTGTTTAAAAGGATCTTAGTATGATTCCTTAACTGGTCCATGCCTTTAGATTTCAGCTTTTGTTGCTGCACATGACATGCATAAAGCACACTCATTTTTATGCCTTGGAAAAATTACGCAAGATTTAGTACAAGAGATGTTTTATCAAAGAAAGTGTCCACTAAAAACAACCACCCACAAAGACGCCTAGGAAAAATAAGTAAAACCAAAATGATGGCCCCTGATGCGGCGTTAATCAGAACGCCAAAACTTCAAGTGTATTGCCAGTAATTTCGGTGAGAATAGGTTGTGATGTCGTCACTCACAGCGCCTACTATCAATGAGCCAAAAATGATACCGTAGGAAATGAAAATCTCATAAATAAGCGGTTTGCTTCACCCAGAAGAAGTTTGTATTTTAAGAACATACAGAGTTGACTTGATAAGAAGGACAGTGGCTAGATCAATAACAAACAAGTATATCATACATTAGAAAAATTCAAAGGAAAGATTCACAGTATTAAACAATCTTATCCAGAATCTATTACAAGAAATCGTATTTCAAATGTATGGTGAATGAAATTTAAATTTGTTGCTGCAACCAACAATAGCAAATGCTACCATACAATGTAACCACCATACGTCTGAAATGTTATTTACCTCTCGCTGCATCCTTTGGGCTTGAACATCTAATTCCCCCGAACTTCAAAAGTTCACTAATCTTGGAATCGCTTGTCTATCAAAAAAATTAGTTTAACAAAGTATTTGTAAACACAGATTAGCTAATAGTTCTAAGAATAGAGGTAGCAGACACAAATTGAAAAACGTTATCATATATATAAATACAAGTCACCATTTCTTTACTGATTTCTCATAAATCTGTTTTCTTACCCTGTTTATTGATCCCAGTGCAATGCACAAGGTCCTTTCCAGTTACAAAGATAAAGAATTCATGATCGTGTTGTGATCAAGTTAGCTGGTCATTGTCTCAAGCCTAAACAATTTTTTTTTTTTGTCGCAAAACAATACATGTGTGATTTTGTATGATCACATTCTAATATCTTCTCATCGTTAAGGTACTAATACTTTATTTGTACCCTTGAGAACTACAAGCTTAACAGCACTCTGCCAAGAGACCATATGTTGTGGGTCACTAGAAATTGTCCACACAAGCTACTGATCATGGCATATCTAAAGACCATTTGAAATTATTTCAAATGTGATATTAGCAACAAGAGATAATTGCTTCTGATATAATTAATTATCATAGTTTGAATTTATAAGCTTAAAAATATGTTCTAAAACATAACATGTTGCACGAGTGTTCACAGTTTTAATAAGAACCGTAAACATTAATTAATAAACAAGAAGGAATTTGCACAATAAATCCACAATTTTGTGATATCAAATACTAGTACTTTCTTATTATGGTAAAAATCAAGTCCTAGTAATATCCCAAAAAAAAAAGTCCTCTTACTTATTAGATTGCTTATATTAAGTATGCTTAAGAATAATATATTCCACCAAAATATTTTCATAGTTTAAGTTATTTGGTTAAATACTTTCTAAACTCATATATTTATAATTACAATCCATCCTTCAATTTTTAGATGTGGGACTTTTTTATTTTCTAATATTCTCTTCACTACTTTTTTCCCTCCTTTTTTTCTTCTTCTTCTTCTTTTTGCTTGGGATTGTACTTTTTTTAATTTCAGAGATCTCAAATCTATTCAATTTTCTTCTCTCTCTCTCTTTTTTTAATCTCTTTTTTTTTATCTTTCATTCTTTAATCTCTCTCTCTCTCTCTCTTCACTCTTTGTGTCTCTGTCTGTGTCTCTTTTGGGGCCCCCAATCGAATGACTCATATTACAATGTTAGATTTCTCGTATTAAATATGCCTAAAGATATTACACTCTATTAAAATAGTTTAAGTTATTTGATTATATACTTCTCAAGCTCATACATTTATAATCTATCTTTTAATCTTTATATATGAAACTTCTTTTATATTCTAATAATACTCTAGTTTCAGATATTGGATTTCCGGCTAGTTAATTTTTACATGCATTTCTGGCCAGGAAAAAATAATTACATGCATCATCTGTGACTGTGACCCTTTCTGAGTTATATACTTGAACATAAGTCAGGATGTTGTCATCCGGAGATTACTACCCCGGCCGTTACCTTGATGCATTACGTATATATTATGATATGTCTACGTGTGCGTACGTATTCCTTCCCATTGCAACTGAAACATGTAATTTATTACTTTTTAATTAATATAAATATGATATAGGTCACAGGTGCCTGTCTTGTAGCTGGTAGGCAGTTTTCTATTTGAGTTTTAAAAAAAATTAAGCCATTTTCATTTTAGTACGGACAGATCGGTGGCTATAATTTAGTTTAATCAATATCATAGTTTTATACTAAAATCTATCCATTAAAGGTCACGACTGTTATTTGTAGCAATTTTTTTTCCTTGTAATATACATTGCACTTGTCTAGAATGAAATTAACCAAGTTGTATCAATAGAAATCACTAGTTCTCCACTTGGATATTTTGATTTGCCAAACTTCATTTGATTTTCCCCATCCATCTTCTTTCTTTTATAATCACTATATTAAAATGGTTCCGATTTAATGTTTATAAAATATTTTTTAAATTTTTTTACATCTTTAAATAATTCAAATCAAATTTTAACAGTTTAAATTTAATTTTTAATTTTTTATGATTCAACATTTCAATAATAATTTTATAAAAAATTAAATATAAATAGCACAACTACTAATATAATGGTCAAAAAGGGAATAAGATGGCAAGGGAAAAGGGGGCAAAAATAATAAGGGTTTTGTCCCAGCCAAATCATACCAAATCAAAGCATTTTAGGTGATGTGGAGACAACGTACTTTTCCTTTAGCTTAGCTACTCCGCATAATTTGACCATTTCAAAACATAACTCATTGAAACCCTCATCCCAAATAATTAAGAAAAAAATTCCTTGGCCAAAAAAAAAAAAAAGATCCGTGATACAAAATACTATTTAATAAACGCAAAGATGTCAGACCAAAATAAATAAAAACTCAGATAAGAACAAAGCTGACGTGGCCGTACTCACCGCTGGCTCCCGGATCACACGGTGACGTTCGTTTGCTGACCATGAAAAATAATCAACTGAACGGATGAATTTTAGGCAAACATATTTGTTTTTTGGTCAAAATTTCAGGCAAACATATGCTTGTGACTTGTGTACATATATAAATAAATTAAAATGATGAATTGATCATTTTATTAATAATGTACCTCTTTCATTTTCACAATTTATGAAATTAGTCCTTGGAATAACTGGATGTCATGCTGGGTCACTAATTACGCAGAGCTCGAGACTTCCAGATTGAAAGTTATATTGTTTATGGATGATAATCAGCAGTGCGACTATATTCAACCAGAGAGAAAAGAAGAAGAAAGAATCCGGAAAAAAGAAACTGTGCCGCAAATCTTTTTGCTTTTGCTTTCTCATTTTCATCCAGAAATAAAAAGTAAAATATTCTGATTCAGAGAGAAAGATACCTCGAAAGCTTGAACACTGTAGCCATGACGGACCAGCGACGATGCCACCTCCAAGCTTAATTCGTCTAATCCGACGAAGCCGATGAGTTTCTGAGACGCCATAGCGAGGACCTCGAAGCTGCGATTTGGAAAATGGCAATCGAATCTGAGACTGAGAGACTGCCGAAGGCTAATTTAAGGCTGAACGAGGGTGCTAACTGAATATATAGACAAAAATGAAAATTTCCTCAATCAAATTAATTATTAATTAATTAAATGCAAAATGAAGAAGGTGGCGAAGAATACGGGTTTTTTTTTTTTTTTTTTTTTGAGGTCCGGCCTGAGAAGATTTTGCGATTGGGTTAACGAAAGGAAGGAGCGGCGAAGTAACCGTTGCTCTCGGCTTATTAATTACGGCGGGCCTGACTCGTTTCTGTGTCATCCATAATAATCCTTGTTTTTTTAGAGCAGATAATTTGAGCGAACTCAAATCTCTTAAAAAAATATTAAAAATAAATTTGACTATATAAATTTAAAAAAAAATATTTTAAGTTTAATTTAAATAAACTCACTCTGAATTGAGCTCAATTCAAATAAGTTAGATTGTTGAAATTTTTAACTTTATATATAGCTCAATTCAAATATTAGATTGTTGAAGTTAGTTGATCATTTTGATTAAATCCGACAGACCAGTCGAAACTCAGTCAAAAAAAATTAGGGTAGAGTTTGATTATATAAATTTTTTTAAAATGATGGAATGTTTTAAATTCAATTTAAATAAATTAATTTAAATTGAGTTCGATTTAAATATATCTGGCTCGTCTGAATTACCCACTCTAAGGTTTTTGGTTTTCGAACGGCATCATCCATAATAATCCGAGTCGTCAATTTTTGCTTTTATGGCTCAATGATGATCATAATGCTCATTTTTAATGTTCTTGGCCCTCTGCCTCTTAGCCAGCTAGCCCAAAAAATATCTTGGCCGACAAAATTTAGCCAATTTTACTCTTATTCAAAAATAATAATTATATTTTTAAATTTATTAAAAAAATATGCAAGTTTGTAATTTTATCTTTCTTTACTATTAATAACTATAATAAATTATTGTTTAGAAATTTTAATTAGAATATACAAATAAGAAGTAAAATAAAAAATTAATTACTTTAACTTGATCTTATATTAAAAAAAATCAGAGTTTGCTATATAGTACAGGGTGAGTATTTTTAATTAGATTATTATTGATATATGCATAATAGGGCATATATTTATATACCGACAAAAAAAAACTCAAATATTAAACATCAATTTTATTTTAGACGGTGATCTAGTCAATTTTTCTGTTTTTTGATTTTTTTTTTTTTAAAACAACTGGACAGATTAATGAGACATATTGTAGACAACCTGTGGTCAAATATAACCCTAAATCATAAATTAACATCTATATCTATATAAATTTGAGATGTTTGATAAACAGTGAATGAGCAGAAAATTTTTAAAAATGCCCCCAATTTTTTCCTTTTTTTAAACCTCTGCCATTGCAACACCGTCAGGTCCGACTTTTCATTTTTTTTTTTAGTTTGGTACCATCGAATGGTACTGTACATGCACAGTGCCATCCGACTTTTTATTTTATTTTATTTTTTTTTTGGTTCATACGTTTTCTCTTTTTATTTTTAAATTTAGTACCATCAGATGGTGCTGGACATGCACAGTCCGTCCGACTTTTCATTTTTATTTTATTTTTCATGAATCCAGCGTTTTCTTTCTTTCTTTTTTTTTCCACATGGATGCGGTACGTACAAAACTTAAGGTACTTAAAAATGAAAAAAATATTTTATCAATTTTATTTTAATTAATAATACCTCTCTTATATTTTTTGAAACCTATATAAATATTTTTTTATATGAATAATTATAAAATACAAGCTTTCTTTTTATTTTTAAGATTTTATTTTTATTCACCTAACCATTAGTTAATCATTAAGTCATATTTGTTAGACTAAAATACTCCTATTTAAATATAAACAGTACATACAAAATTTATACTTAAAAATAAAAAAATATTTTATCTATTTTTGTCTTAATTAATAATACCTTTTTCTATTTTTTGAAACGTATATGAATATTTTTTAGTATGAATAGTTATAAAATATAAGCCCTCCTATTATTTTTAAGATCTTATTTTTATCCATCTAACCATTAGTCGACCATTAAATTATATATGTTGGATTAAAATACTCCTATTGTTAAGTATAAATGTTGTCCAACAATCATTTAAATCTCCAAAAAAATAATTTTTTATTATTTAACTGTATTTATTTTGTAACTTTTTAGAAAATTAAATATATAAATTGGTCAAAAAATATATTTAAAGACGCAATGTATGGACTTAATAAAAAGAAAAATAAAGTAAAATTAATTTTTAATAATTTGGGATAGTTAAATCAATTTAAATAAATCTGAAAGTTAAAGGTGTTAAGAGTCATGATCAATTATAAATTTTTTATATATTCAAATATTTTAAATTTAATATGAATTGAAGATCTGAGATTAATAAAGGAAATGTAATATTTTAATAAACTTAAATTTAAAAAAATTGAAGAAGTGTAGTTTAAAAAAGTAATGTGTAAGACTTACCATTAAAAATATGAGTGGAGTTTATATTTATAAATCTAAAAAAAATTAAATAAGGTAAAAAAAATAATAAGATTTTTATATTTTGAGAGATCATGTGAGATTTTGTACTAAAAATCAATGGTGAATATAAAATTTTTAGTAAAATAATAGGTGTTAGATATACAAAAAAAATTTATATACTCCTTTCATTTAAAAATGTAAGACATTTTTTGATAGATTAAATATTAAAAAATATAAAAATATTTTTAAATTTTTTAAGATATAATCATTATCTTTTTTAAAAAAGTATCCATATTAAATAAATCACTTTATATTTATTTTAAGGTGAAATACTCTATTAAATAGAAAAAAATATAAAAAAATAAAATTTCTTTGATGAATATGAGATTCAGTTGGAAATACTTTATATTTTTAAGTGAAGGAAGTATTTATATCTACATAAAAATAATTTTTTAATATCTATTTTTATTTTTATTTTTATTTTTAGAAACTAAACTATTCAAGTGCATCGTTCACGGGGCATAAATCTAGTTATTATATAAAATAAAACTAGACAACAAATTCCATGAGTAGCAAAGAATATAGAGTATTCGTAATAACAAAATAGATTTTTTTGTGAAATTTGTGCATATTAAATATTGATGTTAATTTATATGAGAATGAACCACAATGGGTTGAATTCATCAAATTCAAGCTTCCTAACAGTAAGCGCGAAGAACTTCCAGCAATCAATATTGATGTTATTTCGTTTTTTACCCCTGCATTGACTGATAGATTTTATAATTTGGAATGTAATAAAATACTAAGATGTCTTTGACAGCTTGACAATGTTGGAAAGAAGTTTATTTTTTACATGTTTAAATAATAGTAAGGTCGAAGAGTAGTTAGAATGATGACTTATAAACGTTGAGTGTGAGATTCAAATCTGAAAATAAAAACAAAATGAAAAAACTAAAATATTCATGAAATACTTGTTTTTCATATTCTTTTTACATGATCAAAGTAAACCCAAAAATTCAATAATTAGAAGTGGGGTTGAACATGACTGAATTTTTATATATGTCTTGTCCCATCTTATTTAAAATCAAAATATTTTGATAAGTAGATAAAACGTGAAAAAGAGATTTAAATAATAACACTTGTTAAATTATATAACTTGCTAAGTCCAACATTAAGGCAATACAGGAAAAAAAAAAACAGAGCAATACAAATAAATCAATTCAATTATTAAGTTACAATTTCAACTAAAAGAATCCAATCATAAGTTAAAGCCAATCACAAATAACCTTTAAGCTATATATATAATGACACGAATTATTAAGTTACACCACTTAAACAAATTAATCAAACACAAAATCAAGTCATCATCGCTGCTTTATCTAAAGGCATGTTAGTAAAAATATACATGCATTTCATCAACAAAAAATATATATATTAAATAAATAAATTATTACATATTAATAAAAAAAATATATGTATATTACATCAAAATAGAAGGCAGTCACAAAAGACATCCATCACCCCCGAAACAATTTTTGTCTTGTCCAAAGTTTTGTCCTTGTTTTTTCCTTTTAGAATAGGTTCATATTGACATGTTTGGAACAGAGACGAATCGTCTGAGGACATGAATGCCCAACAAAAATTCGATGCATAATAGGCAATTCATGGCATCCAGAACAATCAACTAGATGCACCAAAAACCGAAATTTGAATTTTAACTCGAAAACAATAAATAAATCAAAACCTATTAATATAATCCTATTAATCTAGACACATTCGGTGGAGAAGTCTCTTGCTCTTCCTCTTTAGACCTCTATCGACAACTTTTATCCCAAAAACATCCATCATCATAGGCACAAGGAAGCTATTGGTAGTGGGTAAAAAAATAAAGGTTGTTTGAATCGTGTTAAAAATACTGTCCTTGAAAACTATTTTAATATATTAGTATGGCAAATTGATAATTCTCCAAAATTGAATGAGCACATCTTGCAAACACAAGGCAACAGAACAACAAATACTAATAACATAACTCAAATGAACCAGCATAGAACAAAAGTCGGAGGAAGAAAGAAGAGGTTCGAAAATTCAAGAGCTAGGCACCTCGTTCTATCCACATGCATGCTTATATATAGGCCAAGATTTTGGACATAAATGTCAGGCATTCAACCACTAAAATAGAGCACCATTAAATCTCGATTATACACACATAACTCTTGGAGTCATTGGGAACAAACATATAATGAAATTGATTAATATAAATCTGTTTAAGAATTTTTGCAAAAATGATTTGATAAAAAAAACTTAATGCTTCTTGAACTCACACACATGGAATAAATTAATTATTTTCATACGCACAAACCCACTTTTCTTCTAAATTTATTTTATTAACTCATTTTATTTTTTAATATTTATGCATTAGAAGCTCTTTTCATTTAAGTGATGTGGGGTTTTTTCTTTTAACACACACAATTACTACAATAGAGGCTTCTTGAACTCTTACCCAAAAACTCGTCATCATTGACAAGGGATTTCAAGAACAACAGAGTGAGAGTGATGACAGCTATGAACCCCGTGAACAATGCGCTCATGTTCGTCTTTTCCCAGCCCACGATGGTTGCTGGAAGAGTCATTGGAGTTCACCAATGACTGCCACGATGAGGTTTTGTGGATCTGACTAGGGATGGGAATATGAGTTTTGGATTAATTAAATTAAATTAAATTAAATTTATACTTTGTACTAATTAATTAAATTTGCACTTTAAAACATGTGATTGTAATTTAAATTTATTGTTTTTATCTTATAAATCTCTATCCCTGTCCTTTGTAATTACCGTAATCTGACGGTAGTTCTACAGTAATTATAGCACAAGTGTTTAAATAGTTTCCTTAGCATCTGCGGGTGCCCCGCAAGGATAAATGCAGTGGTGCCTCGTGCCGCATGACCCTCAGATGAAGATGTTTTTCTTTCAACTCATTTCGGCGTGTATCTCGTCCTTTTTTTGTTTACCCCACAGTCTAAAAAAAATTTTTGCGCCATCTTGTCTTTTTTTTTTTTGGCAGGTTCGGCTCGCTAACAATAAAATAAGCATAGATGAAGAGGAACGTTACGTATCTTCAAACCATAAGCAACACTTTTTTTTTTTTAAGTTTAATTCACCTCTTATTTTAATTTTCAGGTACAAATTGAGTTGATGGTCTTTCAGAATATAATAAAAAATTTTAAATATGGATTGCATTATTCAGACTCAAATCAAAATAATAATAATTTTTATAAGATAATAAATTAATTTTATCTTTAGTGCATTAAAAGACAATGACAATAAATTTTAATAGTTGGGTGTTGATGTAATTCAAGGACTCGATGATGAGGTAATACATTGAAGTGATATTTTCAAGTAATAAAACTTTTTACTTACAAGTCATGACAAACTAATTAAATAATTAATATTAATCAAAATTTATTTATATATAATAACTTTTATTAAAAGGTAACATTCTTTTAATATATAGGGTTTAATTTTTTTTATTTAAAAGGTAACATCCTTTTAATATATAGGGCTTTTTTTTATTGCTCACATGCATTCTCCTTTTAAAAGTAATCCTATTTAAAGCATGGTCAAATATTAAAATGTGGATATCTCTTTTAATCTCTTTTAATGTAAATTTAAGTTTTGATTTACCACTTTATAAGAGTTTAGCCATTTCTGTTAGATTTAATCTCGTTGGTATATATATTGAGTTTTATTAAAAGAATATTTACTTTCACTGTATGCCAATTTTTTAGTTTTATAACTTTTTAAATACGCATGTAGAAATTGGAGAGGTATTGATAATTATAACTTTTTACATTACTCTTCATAAAAATATCTATTCGTTTTGAAAATATTCTGACAATTGTTTTGTCATTTGAGTATTGGAGTCACTTTATTTCTAAATTTTCTTATAATAAAATAACATATAAAACTCCCATCAAACAACCGAGGCCGAAAATCCATGTTAAAAATAGGTGAAAATTTTAGAACCTATGGTTAAAATAGTATGCGTGGAACCTATGATAAAATTAAACATTTAATCGGCATTAGTTGTAAAAAAAAAAAGGCATACAGTTCATCGAATTTTTTATAATTTTAATTTAATTAAAACAATATTTTTAAATATTAAACTAATTATAATATTAGTTTCTCTTTATTATCTTTTGATATATCACTGTGTATCTGGTTATAAAATTTAATTCTCTTTAAAATTACACACTATTTTTATGTTTATTTTTAATTTAATATAATATCTCAATTAAAAAATTATTAATTACATTGTAATTAAAATTATTTTGAAAAAACTTTATTAATTATACTTTAAAAACGAAAAATATTTTATATTCATAAATAAAATGGCTCAATAGTAAAAAAAAAAGTTAAAGTACACATTTAATCTTTTAATTTTATATAAAGTTTTATTTTAATCCTTTAACTTTATAAAATACTTTTTTAGTCATATAAACTTAATATCATTAATTTCATCCCAACAAAATTTTACATTAAATTTTTAAATATTGACATAAGAAATTTATTTATATTTCAAAATAACCATCACGAATGCAAAAAATTACTTTATAAGATTAAAAGATTAAATTAAAATTTTCTATAAATTTAAAGATTTAAAAATATATTTTAACTATAAAAAATATTGTATGAAAAAATAAGTACAATCTGTGTATGAAAAAAAAAAAAATCATCTCCCCAATAGGCTAATACTATAAGCAACACTGCCTTGATCCCAGGGATGATAATTTTTTTTAAATAAATAATTAAGATATTTTTAATGATGGCATTATTTACTATTGCAAAATATGAATCAATAAAAATTTAATATTTTAAATATTATTTTAGATTTTGTAAAAAGATGTAAGTTTTTTAAAAAAGGGAAGAATCCTCATTTTCACTTCTTTTACGAAAATTTTCCTTTTATTTAATTGAGAATTTATGTTTTGGCCTGATTTTGGCTTAGAATTAAGTTGATTTTTTTTTTTGAGTTAAAGAAATGCCAGCTGTTTATAAAAATAAAATTACAAGAACTGCCTTTAAAAAAAAATGTGATTGTAATTGTCACGAGACACTCCATTCAAATAAGCATTGTGCAGAAGCCATTCAGTCTTATTTGACCCATTGTAATAGAAAAAGGTTCGATTTTGTCCGGTCTAATTAAAAAATAATTCTTTAACATTGAAAAGATCATATTATTTCTTTGAGTTGAATTGAATGGAAGAATAAACGTCTAGACCACTTGATCCAGTTTGATTTTATTAAATTTATTTAATATGATTATAATTAATTTACTAATTATTTGTAATAATAAGTTAAGGTTATTAATAATTTAATAAGTCTAGTTCATTGCATAATCACATGCTTAGACTAATAATTTAATAATCTAAATTATTTGGACTGTAATTAAAATATTTTTTTTCTTGTTGTTAGGGATTATTATGAATTTATTATGATTATAAAATTTTTTATTATTTTAACTGAGTTTATTAAATTGAAAAAGGAAAAAAAACGAAGTTGATATTAATTTTAATTTTATAGACTAAGTCAGATTTTATTAATTTTTATGTTATTATTAAATCAGATCAAACTATAGGTTATTTAATCTAATCTTTTTAATAAAAGAAATTAAAATTTGAGTTAAGTTGAAATCCAGTCCTTTGTGGCCTAATGCAAACCCTGATTAAACTTAAACCCTCCCTTTTACGCTAACACCAAAATGTCAAGTCGGTAACTGAATTGATTCAGGACACCGACATTTCAAAACGGCAGCACCGCCTTGAGTAAATTTGTGATTTTCGCGCGCCCTGCAAACCCTGAAAGGCCAAAACCCTTCCCCTTACGCCAACCTCAAATTATCCTAACGTAACTGAGAATTGATTCAGGCACGAACAATAACACACACGCTGCTTCCTCTTCTCTCGTCGTGCTGCAATTGCTGGGGTTTTTGGGGAGACGAGGAAGGAGCACATTATGGCTCTGGCGCAGCCAATCGAACAAGTTCAATGTTTCGGCCGTAAGGGGATCGCCGTTGCCGTGACTCACTGCAAGCGCGGCTGTGGACTCATCAAGATCAATGGCTGTCCGATGAAACTCGTGCAGCTGGAGATTCTCCGGCCGCTAGGAAAACACCGTTTCGCCGGTGTCGACATGTGTATTGCCAAAGCCAGCGTTGCTTTAGGTTGGTTCAAAATTTCCCTCCTACTGGTTTCTCTGTGTTCGCGCTTTTCATTTGCCCGCCCTCTCTGTTCTTGTCGTGTGGGTCCCGCTTGTTATGGAATCCAGAACATTAGATCAACATTCAACAGTGATTCGTCCTGCCGCACTTTGTCATTTCCGCTCCTCCGTTGCTGATCCGAAATTTCCCTCTCGGCTCACCCATTCTCCTTCGTGTTATCGCCAGTGTTTTACGTGAGCATGCTCAACCTGAAGAATGACGACGAAGCGTTATTTTCAGACTTTCTTTAATTCTATACCCTGGTGCTCGGACAATTTACTCTTGCAGCTCAGTTGGATATCCTATCCCTTAGACTGTTAGTTCAGATAAATTTGCTGTTACACTTATTCAGAAACTGGCAATTGAATTTTGATTTTCTATAATATTCATGAAGAGAAAGCACTACTTAGAAATCTTGCTTGAGAAGTATGAGTGGTTTCAATCTGAAATATTATTAGTTCAAACTGAATTTTGTCTCTCTCTTTTTTTCTCCAAAATATTATTTAAATATCATGCATTCAGATCGAGGATGAGAATTGAGGACGACAGAGAATAGAGCGGGCAAAAATCTGAAAGTTCGACATACAAATTAGTTTCTTTTTAAAAAAATATTCTTATACTAATGTTGCTTATTTAATGTTTTAACTGTCCAAGGTAGCTTCCTGAATATGAACAGTTTAACAAGTCCGTTAAAGATCTAGTTTTTCAACTTTATCTTTCAAAAATTCACAACTGAATTACTATTCTTAATATAGTACTTCCCTATTCTAACATCTCTGGGTTCTATGGTTGGACTATGCTGACCCTGCATAAGCAAGGTCTCCAAATCTTACTTCTCTTTCTCTTTTTTGAATCTGTTTTGGTCAGATTAGATTTAAGTGGGTCAGATTTAAAATTTTATAGAATTACTGTTGACATGTTCAAATGTAAAATGAATAAAAAAATTAAAATTATTAAAATTTGATAGATCTGAATAATAGAGGGAGAGAGAAGTGAAGTGGAGAAATGTGGCTTGCCCCATGTTGTTGTGTGCGTGCTGTAGCCTTCCTTCCTTTCTCTACTCCTCTCTTTTCACCACAACAAATTTTCTGTTTTGTGGTGTTTTTGGTTGTAATCTATCTAACAATTTTTCAATAAAACTCGAGGAAATTTGTTGTTATTCAGGGAAGGTTGTACGGTTTTTCAATTTAGTATAAGTTACAAGATGTATACTCCTTTTTATCTTATTTGTTTAAGAAAATTGAGAAAAGGGCTATACAAGGAAGGAAGATGCATTTGTACTTCACCTGTGTTTAATGTCCTTGTTGTGCATTTCTTTTTTTTTTTCATTAAACTTAGTTTGGCATTGTTGTAAAATAAAAATTATTTTGCCTTTATTTGTTTTGTTTAAATTAAAACCAGTGGTAAGTTATGCTTTCTAACAATTATATGATTATATGGATTTGCCTCTAGAAAATAGGTTTATTACTGATCCTATGAGTATAAATACTGGAGGTTCACCAATAAAAGGGATTGTATGTGCTTAAGGTTCTTACCATGAAGAATACTGGAGGTTTATTACTGGATTGTATGTGCTTAAGAGCTAAATCATGAAGAATTTATTTATCTCTTTTCCAAGCTGTTTTCTCTTGGGTTCTTGTGGTTTTATGTAGGGGTGACAGAAAGGGGGTTAGGTTTGGAGGTGATGAATTATGATTATTCTATAATAGTATAGGTATGAAGCATGACATGGCCTCCATTTCTTCAGTGCAATATCTCACTATTTTCTCTGCAGGTGACTTACTTATGCTTTTACATGTATGGTATTGCCTACTTCATATGGAGAATTAAGGCCTCTACTTGAGAAGCATTGATTAAAGGTTAGAAGTCTAGATTTTATTATAAATTTGTCATGTATGGCTATCTATGCTAAATCACTTGCATTTTGATTGCCTTCCATGTATTTTGTAATTTAATTAGTTCATATTTCCACTCAAGGACATTCTAACAAGGTCTGAATGTATTTTCTATTCCTGACTAACCTATAATTTGTTCTTTACATGCATTGCTTTCACTATCTATCAAAATTGAATATTTGACTCTTTAGGGAATTGATGACACATTGGTTTTATTTAGATGCCTTTTGGTTTGAGATTTTATCCATTTTCTTACTGCACTTGTACAAGGCTCAATGACAATATGAGTTGATGTTTAAATGTGCAGAAATGAATTTTTAAGGGATTACTTTTTTCCTTTTAGCTTAGATTGTTAGTGCCTAAGCTACTTGTTAGATGTTTGTAATAGTAGAATAAAATAAATAGGAGAAGAAGATAGCAGGAGAGAAGAACAAAGGAAGGTTTAGAGAAGATGAGAGACGAGAGGTTGAAGAGGAAGAGAGAAAAGAGAGGCGAGAGCTTTCTGAATAATACCAAACCCTATTGATCAACAACAACCTAATACAATTGAACATAAAAGTATTTATATGACCACTGAATACCCCCAATGGTTAGCAATCAACGGTTATAACTAACTAATAAATGTCAAAATTATAAAAACATAACAATACCTCCCTTAAAAGAGATCCTAGCCCTCAAGGATAAGTGATAACAAAGTTAGAAAACTTTTGTTGAAATTGGTACAAAGGCATCCAAGAGGCTTCTTTATCTGGAAATTGTTTCCATTTGACTAGAATTTCAATAATAATTTGTTTCTTCCTGTGCCCAATCTTTTTTGTAGAATCTGTTCAGGTTCACTTGAGGCTGGAATTTTTGGCCAATCAAGTGGAGGGTGCCTTTACTTCACATTAGGATCTGGACACAGCTTCAATAAAGACATATGGAAGGTAGGATGAATTCTAGAATCAGGTGGCAAGTTGAGTTTGTGAGCAACAGCCCCTATTCTTTCCAACACCTTGTAAGGCCCTAAAAATTGTGGTGCTAATTTTTGAGAGCTCCTATCAGCAATAGATAGTTGTCTATAGGGTTATAACTTGAGAAAAACCCATTGTCGCACCATAAATTCATGATCAGATCTGTGAGTATCAGCCTGTTGCTTCATCATATTAGTGGCATAGTGCAAATGATGTTTTAAAACCCTTATCATCTCTTCCCTTGTTGTGAAGGACTTGTCTAACACATCTAAAACAAAATATTGAGGTAAATAAGGACAATGTAGAGGAGGAACCTAACCATATAAAAGTTCAAATGGAATAGCCTTAGTTGCTGTATGAAAGGTAGTATTATACTACCATTCAGCTTGTCACAGCCATCTACTCCATTCCTTGGATTGCTTCCAGCCCATGCACCTTAAATAAGTTTCTAAACACCTATTAAGAACTTTGAATTGGCTATCTGTTTAAGGATGAGAGGCGGTAGAAAGATGTTGTTGCACACTTAAAATTTGTAAAAATTATTTCCAAAATCTACTTATAAAAATTGGATCACGGTCAGATATAATTTCAACAGGAGCACCATGTAATTTATAAACATAATCTATAAAAATTTGTGCTAAAGAAGATGCTAAATAAGGATGAGTCAAAGGAATAAAATGTTCATATTTACTCATCCTATCAATTAAAACCCAAATTGTGTCCTTACCATTGTATTTAGGAAGTCTCTCAATAAAGTCTATGGTAATGCTCTGCCAAATTTGACTAGGTATAGGTAAGGGTTGTAACAGCCTCGGGGATGAAGTAGCTTCATATTTACATCGTGCACAGGTATCACACTACTTGATGAAATCTAAAACATCATTGATAAGCTTTTTCCACCAAAACAATGCCTTTATCGATTGGTAAGTAGCTTGAATGCCTGAATGGCCTCCTTGAAGACTAGAATGTAACTATTCAAGGATTCGTTGTTTTAGAATAAGATCATGACCAACTACCAACTTCCCTTTCTTTCTTAATAAATCACCATCCTAAGAGAAATGACTCCAAAACCTATTATTTGCTTGAACCCTTTTCTGGATTTCTATAATTACAGCATCATTCTGGCAACTTTCCTTGATTTTTGAAAGCATTTCAAGGAGGAAGTGTCCAAAACAATCTGTAATAATTGTTATTTGGATAATCTAGATAAAGCATTAGCTACAGAATTTTCTTGCCCCTTTTTATACTGAATTCCATAGTCAAATCTAGCTAACTTAGCAATCCAAAACATCTAAAAGGATGTTTTTAACTTCTGTCCAAGCAAGTACTTTAAGCTTTTTTGGTTTGATCAAATGATAAATTTCTGTCTTTTCAAATATTGGTGCTAATAAAGCACAGCTAACACTGCTGCCATCAATTCTTTTTCATAAATTGATAACCTTGATGTCTCCTAGCCAGTCTTTTGTTGAAATAAGCAATGAGTTGTCCCTCTTACATTAAAATAGCTCCAATTCCTACTCCACAACCATCTGTCTCAACTACAAATTGCTTTGAAAAATCTGGAAGTATGAGTATAGGTGCAGAAATCAATGCTTTTTTAAGATTATTAAATGCATCCAGGGCTATTTGTGACCATACAAAACCATTCTTCTTAAGGAGAAGAGTTAAAGGTTTAGTTAAAACTCCATACCCTTTAATGAAACGCCTATAATAACCTGCTAGCCCTAAAAATGCTCTTAATTGTTTGATATTTTAGGGTTTAGGTCAATTAGCCACCGCTTGTATCTTCTTAGGATCAGTTCTAGCCCTTCCATTACTAATTAAATGCCTCAAGTATTCCACCTTAGTGGCAGCAAAAGAACACTTACTCTTTTTGACACAATAATGGTTTTCTCTTAGAGTATAGAAGACTTACTTCAAATATTGCACATGATCAACAAGATTAGCACTATAAACCAATATATCATCAAAAAACACAAAAACAAACCTTCATAAAAATGTCGGAAGATGCTATTCATGGCCTTTTGAAATGGTGCCGGGGTATTAGTTAAGCTAAAAGGCATAACTAACCACTCATAGTGCCCTCTATGAGTCTTAAAGGCAGTTTTATGCACATCTTCTGGTACCATCCTAATTTAATGGTATCTCGCACACAAATCTAGCTTTGTAAGCCATTTTATTGTGGTTAATTCATTGAATAAATCTTCCACTAATGGAATGGGGTATTGGTTCTTAATTGTCCTCTTGTTCAGCTCCCTATAATCAATGCACATCCTCCAAGTGCCATCTTTCTTTTTAACCAAAACAATAGGGGCTGAGAAAGGAGAGGAACTTTTTTGGATGACCCCTGAATATAGGAGATCACCAACTAATTTTTCAATGACATCCTTTTGTGAAGTTGAATATCTGTAAGGCTTAAGGTTTATTGGGTTGGTACCTTTTTGGAGAATAATGGGATGGTTATGACCATCCCTAAAAGGTGGTAACCCTTTAGGTTCATCAAAAAGGTTGGAGAATTCTTCCAGAGTGGCTGTAATCACTATTAGAACTTTTCTAAGTGTAAAAAGGGAGAAATTTTGCAGGGTGCATTGTTGATCTATAATAGGTTGTAGTAAGTAGGCTTGATTTTCTTAGGAAACCTTCATTCCCAAGTGTTTCGGTTGCACTATTTTAAGCTGATTTGGAATGTTGGCTTGAAGTTTGCACAATTTTCCCTCATACCAGAAAATCATGGTAAGAGTTTCATAGTTCCAGTAAGTATTTTTAAGGCTTTTCAACCAGTGCAACCCTAAAATCATGTCATAGGAATGTAGCTCTAGAATTTTGAAGTCAAAGATAAATTTCAAGCCTTGCATACACCATCTAAAGCCTTTCCACATCCCTTACACCTTTAATTTCTGGCCACTAACAATCTTAACCCATCATTCACAAGTTTTATCTAGCTGTCACCCTATTTTTATTGCAAAACCTAGATCTAAAAGGTCATGTGTGCTTCCACTATCAATTAGGATATGAAATTGCTTC